TGGCATGGGTGGAGTTTTGCAGGCTCGTCATAAATGGGAACCCCTGCCACTTGCTCAATAAAACTCAAGACCCGTCGGCGGTAGACCCCCAAATCTGATGTGATCTGTATCTTTGTGGCGAGAAGAATGATCATATAACAATTTGGTCCAAATCAAACCACTGTGCGTGGTTCGACGCGAGCAAAGCGGGACCCATAGGGTTAGCATCGGGGACGCTCAGCCCTGCGTCATTTGAAACTTATCGGAGTAGCAAAGTGTTTCGGTTGCCGTATGCGAATTGATTGCAAATATACGAGTTTTGGGAAGGTGGATAGGGTGAAACATCAGAACATAACGACCAGTGCGAGCCGCAAGAACAAAGTGAGTGATGGTTCCAAAGGGCGATCCTCCGCGACTGTTTATCGTTACAAAGATTACAACGAGAGGTATATTCAATGAAGGACCGTGCAACATCTGAAAACGGACATCTATTGATGTGATATTTTTTAGATTATATGAGCTTATTGCCCCAACATATTATTTTCGAGCGGCAACTTCATTGGAAGATGTCCCACTATTCAAGACAAACGCAAATACTAAAATCCACAACACCGACCAGACAATTTTTGATCACAACGCTAAATTCAAATACCTTAAATCGCACTCTTGCGATATACCTCTCTTTAGTGCCTGGGCATCGTTGCACATTTCACTTAGCAAAGAGTAGGTGGGAATCTCTGTCGTATGACCTGTAATAGCTCAGAAACCGATAGCGGTGGGCCCCTAAGCCTCATAGTGCTGAACCGGCGGCGAGAGGAGGGGCGCACATTCGGTCCAGATCGCACCAACGCAAATGGTTCGGCGCGAGCACACTTGCCCCATGGGATTAGCATTGGCGGAGGTCAGCTCGTCACCATGTGAAACCGATCAGAGGAGCGAAACAAATCGGTCGATGTTTGCCAATCCATTGCATATCTTCCACGTAGGAAGACGGATTAAGTGAACAACAGAATACGACGGCAGTAGAGCTTACCAGCATACACTGCGTGATGGCTCAAAGAACGTTTCTACGGGACTACTTATCCGCAGCGTTACATAAAAACAGTATGACGAATGTTAAGCGACGGACCGAGCGCCAGTTGGCACCTCGCCAGCAGCGCATGCGCTCTTAAAACGGCGACAAGACGGCAGGCCAGCTCGCCAACTGAGCGCTGCAAACTGGCAACGGCCAAAACCAGAACTTTGGCTGCCAAGTCAGGCTTCCCTGCAGCGAAAACAAAGGATTTGTCGACGGCATCTTGGTCAAGATATTCCCCGACTTGGAGTAAGAGTTGTACAAGACACAACCTGCCTCCGCAAGCAGGTCACCCTGGCACGGAACAACTTCGCCGTGTGATGATCATGAACTCAAAACTTCTGGAGTACCAACGTAGAGAGACAAGGGTTTGCAAGTCGGTGGACACTGTCCCGACCCAGGGGAGCAGAATGCGGCGAACTACCAATTGGAGTTTCTCAGCAGCCTGGAACCGTCAGGACCCTATCACGCAACTTGTATTCAAGCCAGGTGCACCCATCATTTTGTTACGGAGCATGGATCCTCTACAATGCCGACCATCATGACAGGCAGGGCCAAGGCAGCGAACGTTTTCATCCCCAGAATTCCGCTCATCCCGAGTCCAAAACAGATCCCGGCCTGCTGGCAGGCGGAGCTGCCCCACGCCATGGCGATGAACAAGAGCCAGGAGCGGTGCCTGAAGAAACGGACCTCGAACTGCCTGAGCCAGTGTTCTCCCGGAGTCAGCTGTACGTCAGCAGCTCCAGCGGAGCGTCCAACATGCATATCATATCGTACCAGGGCAAGACCAATAATGTGGCGCACAAGAAACCACGCAACCGTAAGATTCCTTGGCGCAGGAATTCAGCTGCAGAAGAACCCTAACGCACGCTGATATCTGGCCTGTACTTTCACATCGCCGTATTCCGCCGTGTATGGCCTCGATTGCTCCGTGCTCGACCCGTCCGCTGCAGGGAGTGCCCGAGCCCGGTAGCGGACCGTCATACTGTACCTCAGAAGAGCACGTGAGTCCGCTGGCTGCTCAGCTGGTCAAACAGTGGTTCAGAAGGACGCGTCGGCCTGTTTCGTGCCAGAGATGTTTTGGGTATAATCTGAAACTGGTGCATATTTTCTGCAATTGTGCGTCTCACTATTTCCTCGTGATTTCTTCGAAGTTTAGCTCTGTGGTGTGACATTCTTTGAAAGTATTAACTGCATTGCTCCAAGGAATGAATGGCGGCCGGCACTTTCGTTGCAGCGTGTCCCACTTGTATACAAGCACCTACAAATACGAAACCCCACCAGACAAGTCAGATCAATTTATAATAAGCCAAACGCAGCGTTTTTCAAATTCTTCCTTTGTGGCATCCTTTTTATAATCGGGGTATCGCTGGGCATCCCAGCTAGCCACATATAATAAAGGCAAATATTTGTCCTTTACCCACCAATAGCTCGATAACTGTCGGTGGTAGACCTCCAACACCTCGCATGGTCTGACTCTGCCGCGCGACAAGAGCACGGTTTATGCAGCACATCTGGTTGAGATCAAAGCAGCGCAGCACGAGCAAACCTGCCCCATAAGCCTAGCATCAGGCTTGGTGCTGGGTAAGCTGGATGTGCGGGCGGCATAGCTGCATTACATCTTCCGTTTCCCAGCCCCGCGAGGGTGCTAGTCCGCAATCTATAGCGTTGAATAAAGCAGGACTCAGGTCATGCATTGTATTCATGGCATATGTGCAGTTTTGCTAATTTGCGCATGGCACTTGCTGCAAAATCAACTATTTCCTGGTCGAGACGGTTATCTTCGTGTGAATATTTCGGGTAACGAAGAACTTCCGACTGCTGCGTGCTAATGAACTTCGAATTTGCCATTTCAGAAAGGACGGTATGTTAAAAGCCTAAAGGAAAATGCCCTTTGATGTGTGCGAAAATGAGCTTCAGCACCAAGCTTTCGTTCCTTATGCTGCACGTAATCGACTTTGAATAGCCCAGGAGGTGCGGGCTAATCGACGTTAGCAACAGACCCTAGTATACAAGACGTTATCAAGCGAGTATTGCCACTTGTGGTCAAGAGCACTAGAAACGTCGACTTTACAGACGAGCTATACCATGCCTGCCTCATAACGTCATGAAATCATAACTTTCTGAAAGGTCGTTGTAAGTTATTCGGGCTCAGGGGCGCTTAGACGGGCAGCGGTCATTATGTACCCGTCCTGAAAGGCCGGTTATTTGCAACACCACTCACGACTTATGATTTATTTATTTGACATTACAAAACCAATGTCGGCAGTATTGCTGGGCATTGCTTCCGCTATCCAGCTTGCACCTGGCCATCGCCATATTGCGTCTCGTGTGGCCTAAACTCTCAGCCGTTCGCTGCCGGGCGTGACCGAGCCCGGTAACGCTAGGCGGTTCGCTGCCGGGGGTGACCGAGCCCGGTAAACGCTAGGCCGTTCGCTGCCGGGGGTGAACGAGCCCGGTAACGCTAGGCCGTTCGCTGCCGGGGGTGACCGAGCCCGGTAACGCTAGGCGGTTCGCTGCCGGGGGTGACCAAGCCCGGTAGCGTTCGGTCGTTCACTGCCGGGGGTGACCGAGCCCGGTAACGCTAGGCCGTTCGCTGCCGGGGTTGACCGAGCTCGGCATCGTACCACAGTGCTGTGCTTGAGCCGCGTGAACCCACTGACTGGTAAACTGTCCAGGCAACAACGCAGTGAGAGGAGGTGACCTATGTCGTGGCACTGACTTTTAATGAGTACCCTGAGGCTGACATGTGACTTCTTCAACTTGCTCCGCTATGTTTGCTCTTGGTGGCCTTGCATTTAAACGTTTAGTGATTTGGCGTTTTTCAGGGATTGCGTTAGCTGTATTGCCTCCTCAAATGATTTGCACTCAATATAGTCCGCCATTTCGTTGGAACGTGTTAAACGATTAAATACAAGAACAAGGATGAACAACTGAAACACAAATCACGTGATAAGGCATGAAATAAAAAAAAATAAAGTCGTTAAGTTGTGATATAGATAAAATCGTTGCGTAGCATAGACAAGTGAATGTCATTTGGACCGACAACCAGTTTCCAGTTTTTTATCGAGATAGGTGCATGACTCGATTTGATAAGTGTAACCTCCGAACCTTTTCCCTCATAACCGTCTTGCCGAAAACGCACAATTTTGTGAAATTGGTGAACGCAACTTCGCACGGCAAAAATCCTCTCCGATGAATCGGAACCCAGCTTTTATGCAATAAGATGTGGCCTGTGAGTAGATGTAGTTCGTTCAAGAAAATCGTTTCAACTACATATGCATTTTGGACCGCATACTGATAAATCAACCTACCATGCCTTGGTTTGATGTTCCAAATTTCCATATTGTATTGTCACAAGCATCTAGCAAATGTGATTGTACGACTAGTATACTACCGCTTCTATCTGATGCTCAAAACTGCAGGTCCACAAGCGGCTGCAAAGAGGTCGGCTCGTAAACAGCATCATGGCCAGACTGGGACGACTGAGGCAGTCAGAGTTGAAATCTCCCGCTAGTTAGAGTAAAACTCGCTCGGCCTACAGACTCACTCCTCACAAAATTCCGCTATCTCCTGCTGATAATTCCATAAATCTTTGATAAGCAGTAACGAAGACCTAAGCTTGTGAAGAGCCAAATGGTCTGGCCGCGCTGGGCCGGGCCTGGCCGGGATTTACGACCATTGTTCGTGTGCGCCCGGCCCCAGAAAAGGACTTAGTCTCAATCTCCCAGCTCCATCAAGGTGATGTGCTCAGAGCTTGTCCCAGATCGCCTCCGGGTGACCACATCCCAACGGATTGTGAGGAGGAGTCACTAGTGGTACGGTGTTCTGGCTAGTGTTGTGGAGAGAGGACAGCTTGCGCCCACGGTTGTCTTTATGGGCCCACTATTAAAACGCCCACAAGCTGACTACTCGGGTCTGGCTCGTACACCCGGGCAGCACTCACAGGTGGTCCTGTCGTTTGAAGGCCTTGCAGCAGATGGTGCAGATGTACTTGCGCTCGTCGCTGTGCGTCAGCCGGTGCTTGGTCAGCGCGGACGCGTTGCTGAAGGACTTGCCGCATACCTGCAGGTGTACTGTATGTCAGCGAGCGATAAAACCTGAGGCCTACGAACATCTCCGGAATCCCGCTAACCACTGTTGGAGCTTTTGAATAAGGCACCTTCTGGCGTTGTTCATTATCTGATATTGATAATCGGGAGCGATGTTAGCCGTCGTCGTTCCATCAGAATATTGAGGGCAGAAAGCAACACAACGGAACATAACGGGGGTAACAACGCCATGCAGATCCGCACCATCTGGCCGAGTCATAGTACCATGGCTAATTACGAGTGGCTCAGTGAAGCCAAAGAGTGCTATGCCATTGCATACCTATGGCTTGGCACTGCGCAGAAAAGATAAAACGGCAGAAAACCAGACGTGAAACGGTGATAACTACATGATGATGTCCATTACTCATTGAACAGTTCTGTATCCTAAGCGGTGTATAGCCCCGTCACTGTAGCGACCCAGGTCCAAATAGTCCATCAAAGGACGCCGCTTCCACGAAGCGACAAGAGATGTCATACAAATGCCCACCATGGCAGTTGTATCTTGATAACATCTAGACATCACTGAATGGCACCTGATTGACGCGCCTCTTGATGGGAAATGCTTGTCTGAAAGAGGAGATGTGGTGCAACTCACAACAAAGGACAGCTGTGGTGAATAGGCAAACAAAATCCCAGTAGGCAGCTCGTGTGAAAAAGACATGTCACTGTCCAAAAAAGCAGCCGTGGTGTCTTGGCGTCATCTGACGGGTGATACCCGATTCCCCCACAACCCATCGTGACTCGACGCTGTGATCCAGCCCGTCGCAGCCCCCGGCAGCAGCGCGCCAACACGACACCCTTCGACAGGTGGCCGACACCTCCGGCCCCGCTCCCGGGTGGCCGCGCACCCGCCGGGCACCCCAGCCTCAATCACCACGGCCATGCTATTGATCGGCCCCCGGGGCGGCGACGGACGGTCCGCGGTCGACGATGGCCCTCTGGCGGTATCAGCCGTCGGCGGTCGAGGGCGGCGGCGCCTCTGATTGACGCCTCCGCCGCCACCGACAGCGTCGTCGGCCGCCGCCGAGCATCGATCGACGCCGCAGTGAGCGGAGCGCAACAACAAATCGTCGAAAGTGGGCCGTGTTTTCGGCGGTGGCCGGCGCGCAGACAGGTCAGAGATGTGCCCGCGCCGGCGGTCGATCTCGACGGGTCGGGCTCGACGGTCGCCGGCGCCGGACGCCCGGGGCGGAGGCGTCAGACGCGGCGACGGAGCGATGGGGTGGGGGGTAGGGCCTGGATGGTCGCGACCGTGTGACGTCATGCTCGGGCAAGGATTGGCCGATGAGGTGTGCTCGTGTGCAGACAGGGCGTAACAGGGAAAGCCGGAGGAGAAGCAGCTTATGCAGATGAGGAAGAATTAGACACAGACGACGAACGATGCTAATATCAAATGGTATGTGGCTCGATGTCTTAAGAACGAGAGGTGGACAGTCTAGCAAATACTATTGATCATCAGCTCAGTCAAGCTTGGTCTTACTGAGTTCGTTGGTGGAAGCGGCCCGTCTATCTTCCCGGTTAGTAAGCGAGCGTAGCTCTTAACTGAAATGGATTGGGGCAACAGCTGCCTTTCAATTCGCATATAAGTACGATGCTACGGCACATCCTCATCATTCTCTGCTGAAGTTTTTTTTTTTGTCGGTCGTCGGACCCTTGTGCGGCAATCGTTCTGCAAAGCCTTGCATTCAAGATGAGCCCAGTTGGAGCCCGTTGCATGGTAGCATGGCACTGCATGCAGGAATCAGCATGGTGCCCATTGCATATTGTTGCATGGTAACATGGTATTGGAGCCCGTTGCACAGCATTGTATTTTTTGAGAGGCACAATATTTGTACCTACATCGCTATGAAGCAGGGCATCGTGACTGCACTGGGAAAAAACGGCCATTTTATTGTTGCTGTTCTTTGGCTATGGTTGTGCGGGGCATTTAAGAGATTATTTCACTGCCTGTCAGTGCAAGACGTGCTTGTTTCAAGGGGTATGCACTTTGAAGCTGTAACGGTATAGCAGTATCCAGTCTTTAGTGATAATTCAGTGAAGACTGCTGATTGTTCAGTCGGGTCAATAACCGAGAGCTGCAATGACGACGTTCTCATGTGAGTGCACTGTATAATGCAGTTTATACCTAACAAAACACCATGGAAAAAAACAACCAGACCGGTTTGGCGCCAGGGATCACATTGGTCAGCCGTTTTCCAGACAGATGATGCTGTTCACTTGGCCGGCACCGGAAATATCAACCACGTCAAGGACTCGAACCCTGGATCATAGTAAGTCATACCCGAATACGTAACCAGCTGGGCTAAAAAAACTGCAATATTTCAGCGTGTCACGGCGGGCGTAAATGGGGCACATCGGAGATAGCATGTTTTCGCGGCAATCGAAGATTTTATTTATTAACGGAAAATTTATAGGATGTGTGCGATTTTGTGCCTCCATGTCAAAGAGCCCGAGCATGAAGAACACAACGGTACACAGTGCACGATGCCGTGAATAACACCATCTGTCCCAGGAACACCATCTATACCTGTAGTATGACACTGAATTACTAAACCGTCATCAGCTAGGTTGGAAGATCGCCCCTTGATATGACCCTCCAAAAGTCCGGGATTCGAGTCTCTGATGAGGCTTATATTTTCAGTGCCTATCGCACGAATAACATCATTTTCCTGAAAACTGCCCGTACAATACAATGTTTTACAGCCAAATAATGCAGGCATAATGTAGGCAAGCATTATGCAAGCAGTCACAAGCATGCAGTTCGAGTTCACCCGTGAGCTGCGGTTCATCACTAATGGATCGCTCAGATGTTTTTGTTCTTAATGGCCCGAGCACAAACTCACATCCTGTCCGGACTGTCCCATTTACTCAATTCAGCTCCCAGTTTGTCAGCTGTTTAGCTGCTCAGAACACTTAGTTGAACACATGTTCAGTTCTCCTAACCTTTTACCGGATGGAGGCGATTTCGCTAGCGTGGCCGTTGCCGCGATGGTAAATGTATAGCAGGCGGTTTATGGCCTTACTTTTCTTGTATTCATCAAGTAATGCTCGCTTCACTTCTTGGTTTAATTAATCTCTCTTGGTTCGGACATGGCTGCGGCTCAACGACGCGATGCTATTGAATAACACAAACTCCACCAAACGTGTGGCTCTCAGCGAGTTCGTTACTTCTATTCAGTTCCATTCAACCTGTAAAGAAATTTCGCTGAGGTGGAAGTTATGATGTTAACAACAAAGGAGATTGCGTGTGAATGCCTTCTCCTTACAAATAGCACTCTTTTCAACACTCCAGGTTAGCTGTACTCATGCCTTCTTTGTAGAAAGGACACATTCATGTTAAAGGTAGCAAAAAAAACAAACAAAAAACAGAATGACAGGATGCCAGCAACAAAGCCTTGAAATTCTGTTCTTACGACATGCTGAGTTCAGAGTTGTTATGATGACAATTATTGATCTTCATTATTCCAGATGGAACTGCTTAAGCGACGATAGGAGCCAAACACTGGCTTTGTTACAATACTCGACGTTTCAAGCACTGATCACGAGTGCTGCCGTTCGCTCATGATGCTAAACACGGATTGAACGTCGAGCATTTACGGTACCTATGCCTGCTTGAGAACGTCGTTGAACGAGCGCCTCTGTTACACCGAAGGGCGATAACTGGCAACATAAGAACTCTGAGCCCGTCACAACTGGACGTCATCAATCAGCATAAGGTAAGTTTAGGTGGTAAGAACTGGAGGGATCATTTTTTTTCACCACTTCAGACCCATGTTAACATTGTCTTGATCCAAGCTTGGGGCACGTGCTCGGAACGCGGCGCCCTCCGGCCTGGATCTTTTTTGTTGTAAATCGCGGCGGCAGGCCGGCAAGCCGGGCCGCTGCACTTCGCAGTTAGTGTTTAGACAACAGGTTTAGCTGAGATGAGCAACGTCCTTTGAAAGAACAATCGTGGAGAACATTCCTTACTTGGTGCATTGTCAAGGTTAAAAACGTCCTGACCAGGATGTGTGTGGTCGTCGTACTTACTTTACGCATGCTCGTTCAAGGATCACCACTGTGGGCGTTCGTTGCTGAACTGAATTTCTCCCGAGCTCCAGCCTGCTTTAAAAAATACAATCAGTGCAATCAAGTAAATATTGGTTTGTCCAAACTGTACGCGGAAGACCAGACAGCTGTACATGTGGCGTGGTAGGAGGGGACTAACGCCAGCAAGACTCGTTTTGCGGCATGGGACTAGCGAGCTGATAAAGGACGTGATTGTTATCTGTACGGGGATGATGCGTGGACATCAGCGCATGGGTCTCATCGCCTTGAGAATCCATACGAAAAGCAAATGTCAATGCGTTGAAATATCTCCTTTCAGGAGTTAGGCAGGCGGAGCTGCACTCGTGCTTGGCACCCGCAAACAAGTTAACAAACGACGTTGCTGGAATATTGGCTGGCTTTGGACCCGCCGAGTCCAGGGGAATCCTAATCGGCGGATGGATGAATTCGGAATAGTTTACGACTTTTGTGACAATGACAAACGCATGGGAAGCGTTAATATCTTTGGCTAGGAAGTCGCTAGAATAAACTCTGCCACGTACCCCAAATCGTCGCCGGGGTCCGGCTAGCCAGGCCATATCTTTGCCTCAGTTCAGGCCTCAGCGCGTGGCATTTGAGGCCGATTTCGGCTAAGATGACACCGGCTGCTTCTCGGCCCAGTACTGACAGTGTGCAGACCGGACAGTGCTGAAGTCGCCAGACGAGTCGCAGATGGTACGCTCGCCTGCACTGTAAATCCGGTTTAACGTCTCCGTCTGCTCTGTTTGCTAAGATCTGGCATAAGTCCTTTAAAGCGTCTGAAGCCGGCCAGACTCATGCTCGGCGCCAGATTTTCCATGACAGTGTGCACACATCGACCCACACCTTTGCCGGCACGACGACCCGCTTCTTTCACCGTCAGCACCAGTTGGTCTCGTGTCACTGCGA